AAATTGAATTAACATATATAGTTAATTACTCCTTGAAAAACAAAATTTTACCATATAATAGTTGATAAACGATCCACCCTTCTGAATGAATTTAGCGACCGAAAATGCCAGATCTTGAACCGGGCGAGTTGGGATTGGATTACCAAATGAAGTAAACCTGTAAAACAATAAAAATAATAATAATAATTATATAAGTTTCATTTTTACTAGAATAAAGTTGTTAACTGTTTTATTTACCAGGAGGTCCAGGCTTCGGTCCACATAGTAGGCTTATAAGTCTTTGTGGGAGAGAAGTAATCACAATAGTAACCATTGCAGGTATTAATCTGCAAGATGTAATGAATTGATGGTAATGTTAAAAGTTTTATGTAAAAAGTAAAAACTGATGGAGGTAAAAAAGTACTTACAATTGGATCTGGAGCATCATCTTGCTTACACATTACCCATGGAACTCCTGTTTCGAGACCCACAGCCATTTTTGCTGCCCATTCGGTGTACATTTTGCCAGGTTCATTCATCAATTCTTCAACTGGTCCATATTCATTCTCAATCTATTAAATGAAGAAGAAGAAAAAAAAGAGTATCAATTTTAATTTCAATATATCTATTAACAAGAGATCATCTGCTAGCAAAATGCTTACTTGGGACAATATAATTGGACCACCTTGAACTTCAAACAGACCTTCAGCTTTCATCATATCTACAATCTTCTTTGTGAAAATTTTCATTTCAGTCTTTGTATATAGTTGCCGCATTTCAGGTACCGGAAAAACGAAGCTCGATATCAGATGCCATTTATCTAGTGAAAATAATAATAATAATAATAATAATAATAATAATAATAATAATAATAATAATAATAATAATAATAATGACACAAAATTAAGCTTTTGTCAAACCTTAAATGGTTCATTATCTGTCCTGAAGCTAATTCCAGGAACATACTTTAGCCAAACTGGAAAACCCCTGTTAATCAAATCAATAAGGACAAAAAAAATAATTATAATTAAGATAATTCAAGAAAATATATAAATAACTTTCAAGAATTGTTGTTTTGCTCTTCCATTGAGAAATTAATCTGTATGTTTTGTAGTATT